CCCCCCCCCCCCACACACACAACACAATTCGTTCTATTGTGTCAGGTGAGCGGCACTCTCTTCTCCCATCGGCAGCGGCAGAAGCAGCAGAAGAAGTCGCCAGGGGCATCAGCAGCAGCGGCAGCGGCAGGAGCGTCCTCCCCCTCCCTCCCAGCCACAGAGGCCCCCCGCGCGAGAGCGTCGTCCATCCACGGGGGTGCGCCACTGGACCGTCTTTTGGCGGCGGACGACCCGGTGCGTCAGGAGCAGTGCCGGCAGGCGCTGCAGGGTTTGGTGGGGGAGACGATCGAGGATGTGGTGAACCAGCGGCTGACACAGATCCTCAAGATGACGGGCGTGCAGAAGATATGGAAACCGGCGCCAGACGTACGTACGTTTGGATGAGTGGGTGGATGGCACACATGCTCTCTCTCTGTGTGCGTGTCTGTGTGTCTGTGTGTCTGTGTGTGTATGCAGATGCGTGTGTTCAGCATGCCCCTGTTCTACGAAGATCGGGGCGGCCGTGGGTGGACGTCCGTCCTGCTGGCGGGAGGCGAGGGTGTCTTTGTGGCGACGCAGATCCTGCAGTTCTGGGTGGTCTTCCGCTACGGCCAGTCGCCCTTCGTGGCCGCCGTGTGCAGCTACATCCTCGACCGCGTCCTCAGGTGGCTGCGGCGGTTCCTGGGCGCCAAGAACATGGTAATGAGAGAAGAAAGACGGTGTGTGTTAGTGTGTGAAGGATACGATACGTGTGTGCGTGTGGGTGGGCGTGGGTGTGGTGTGGGTTTCAGGCGTTCAAGTGCCTCCCTGATGACCGGTTCTTGCTGTAGGGGAGGGAGGGAGGGGAGGGGAGCGTTAGATGGTCTGGTTGGTGCGTCCACACGCGTGTTCATAACAATCAATCGTGTCTGTCTGTCCATCGTGTGTGTGTGTATACGTATCGTTGAGTGTATAGACCCTGTCCGTCCATGCGTTGGGTTCATGTACACAAACAAATGTCCGCATACTCACTCACTGGCCACCCACCAATCATGTCATGAACCAACCTCCCTTAGTCGGATCGACAGACAGACAGTAAACCGGTCACTCATCGGATTAATCAATCAGTCAAATCAATGCACTCCTGCCCTGCAGCATCGGCACTTTGACCACTTGCCGATGGCCCGCCACCACCACCGCCAGCAGCAACAGCAGCGGCACCGCCACCAGCCGTCGGTCTCAGCTGCACGACGAGTGGGCAGTGGTCGCTGCCCATGAAGCCCTCCATTCCGCCCCTCGCCGTCCCCTTGCCCGTGATGCGCACACTCTCCACCCGACCCATAAGTGATTCCGACACCAACTGCAGCCAGCCACCACACGCACACACATGGACAACGGCTCGGTGTGCGAATGTGTGTGTGTGTGTGTGTGTGTTCGTACGATGTGGTCGATCCTCATGCCCTTGTTGGCGTATTTGCCCCACCCCCGCCACGAGAAGCACGGCGACTCCGCAGACGGGGCGCCGCGCGGGTGCATCTGCCGATAGGCGTCCACCTGACACACACCACCCCACCCCTCGCCCATCCATGCCATGCGGCCACCCATTCGTGTCGTGTGTGTAGTTGCCGTCATTCGCTCACGAGGCTGCCGGCCTTGAGGATCTCCCGGAAGTCCGCCCGTTCGCCGTCGGTGCAGCCCGGCTGACCCACATACTTCGGCGGCGGCCTGGCCGGCCCCTCTGTCTGCTGCCGAAACCACCTCTCGTCACCAGGGGACAGATCGAGATCAGTGGCCGCACAGTTGAGGTCGCCTGCGATGATGAGGGGCTTGCCGCTGCTGGTGGGAGGGGCGTCGCTGCTGCTGGCCTCTCCTGCTGACGTGCTGTCAGTGGTGAAGTGCTTGACGAACTGCTGGACGTCCGTGTCGAACCGGTGCCGCCGTGAGAACTTCTCCGTCTGCCAACCTGACACACCAAACCAAACCTGGATGGATGGACGGTTGACGCCTTCTTGTGGCGCGGGTACCGTTGTTCGGCGTATACCTGATGGGACACACACAGGCAGGCAGGCAGGCAGACACAGACACGATATAAGGTGGCTCATGTGTGTGAGCGTAGCTGTTTTCCGACTGACATACACACATGTTCATGACGGCGAAGCTCTCGAACTCCGCCAGGATGACGCGGCCCTCCTCGTGGTGCACTGACTGCAGCTTGTCCGGCAACAACAGGCTGTACCGCACAGACCGCACGTGGATGTCCTTCCTTGCCATCATCAAACAGCCTGCACCACCACCACACACCACACACCACACGCACATCCATCCATCCATCCATTCATTCAAGGCTTTTCCATGCCTGCATATCGCCAGTCGGCAAGTGACCAAAAGAGGCTGTAGGAGGACAGCACCGGGCTGCTCTTGAAGGCTCTGTTGACCCGGTCGGCGTCCTCTCGGGTGGATGCGTCGTTGTCCCGCAGCTGGCCTCGGTCCCGTGGCCGCCCATCGCCCTTCTTGGCACCTGCATGCATCGGCACAGGGGACACCCGGCCGACCTCTCACCAATTGCCGCATTGTGCGAATCTCTTCTGGTCTTGCACGCCCACCTGGGGGAGCCGCGGCGCAGAGTTTGATCTCTTGCAGACACACGACATCCTGCAGCAAAGCGGCACACACACACACAGGGCAGGATACACACATGTTCAGATCTCTTGAAAGCTTCTCTGTTTGGCACATGTGGACGATACCGGCTTCTCTGTTTCCATGAAGCTCTCGAAATCCTTCCACTGCTTGTGGTCCTTGATGCGTGTGGTGAGGCCGTTGACGTTCCACGTCACGATCTTCAGCGGATCTGACCGCTTGACCCTCTTCTCTGCTGCCGCCGAGGCTGCCTCGGGTAGACGCTTCATGTTGATTGCTGAGGTCACGACCAAAACAGCGAGGATGCAAGAGGATGCAAAGGGAGGGGAGTCGGGAGGCAGTGGATGGACTTCTGTGTCCTTCTCTTCTCTGGTGGGCCCGCCGTCGAGAATTCGGTCGAGACGAGACGGCGATGATTTTTCATTTTTTTCGCAGAAAGTCCCGCCTCAGGCGAGGGAAGAAAAACGTGGCGAGCACGCCCACGTGTGATGACCTGTCCGTCGTGTGATGACCTGGCTGCGAGTCGGGCCTTGGTCCGCGCCCCCTCTCGTTAATTGGCGTGACTGCGTACCTACCTTCGTGGCTGGTGCAGCCGCGAGGACTACCTCCAGAGGGGGTCAACTGAGGACGACGGGTGCCCGTACAGCTGAATGGTACGTACAAGGGAGAGGTCGCGCATCTGTCATCTGTCTTGTGTGCTTTGCAATCAGCGCCGACCAGCGTTCGACGTTGCATCCGCGGAGCAGGCGTCACCGACACCGACAGCCTCACCGACAGGTGACCGGTATCGGGTCGGCTTACTCCCCTTTTCTGCTGCTGTCCGCCAGCAGGCGCGCGTCTGCTGCCTTCTGGCGGGAGTTTGTCCAGGCGTTTGTCCACGTGGTTCTTCCGTCGTGTGGTGGACACCCGCAGGTCCATCGGGGCGTGCCAGTGCGCGGCCGTCTGCATGACGTACGGGGTGGTAACAGTCGCGGGTGGCGGCTCTCGGGCTTTTCTGCCTGGGGATCTTGGACATCAAGCTCTGGACCAGTCCGTCCGCCGCGCCCTTCTCGCTGAATGCGACAGTGCCTGGTAGGCAAGCAAGCAAGCAAGCAAGCAAGCAAGGAAGCAAGGGAGGAAAAGACCTTGACAGCCTCATCGACAGCCTCACAACGACCACTTCCTCTATCTCCCCTTTGCTGCTGGCAGGGAAATACTTTGCCGTGAGCTTTTTCGGCACAAATCAAAAATTGCATCTTCTCGACCCACCTGAGGACCTAGACGAGGAAGGCAAACGCCTCATTGCAAACGAGATAGCCCGGGAGCGGGGTGAGGAGCTTCGCCAAGTGTGGAAAACTCGACTCGAGATCAGTCCCGGAACAATCACCATCAAGCTCGACGAATACCACAGCAAAAGGGCAACACAGGAGGAGATAGCCTCAGGAGCTAGACCAGCAACACGTTCTCACTGAATCGGACGTATTCTCAAGTATCGGTCTTGTGTCAACAAATCAGACTTGTTGTGTTTGCCTAATGGACACGCCAATCGATTGAATGCACCATATGTGTGTCTCTCTTTCCATTCATGTAAGACAGAGACAGAGAAAGGGGAAAGTCAGGAGGCAGAGCACTTTTGGCAGGATGCCTTGAATGGGACACACAACACTCGCGTTAGTGGGCTGCTTGACAGTCTATCTGTTCACATTCAGTATCTCTACTATACGACCGCGTAAGGAAGAGGGAGAGGGAGAGAGAGAGAGAAAGCCCAGACATGAAGAGAAGCGTGCTGATGCTGCGCTGTCCGTCTGTCTGTCTATCAGGCACCGTGAGAAGGAGCTGGAAATGCATGGTGCTAAGTTACGTGTTTTGTGGCGATCTCCTGGCTCGTGATGTGTGTGTGGATGGATGGATGGATGGATGAGTGAGTGAGTGAGTGATTGGGAGAGGAAAGAGGGATCGCTGTCCACATTTTATATTCGACGAGCCTCATTGCGATGTGATATCCATGCGCTGTTTGACACTTCAGTCAGTCGCTAGCTGGACGAGACGTGTTTTTGAATATGCCTCTCGCAACACACACAGACGTGTCACCAATCTCACCTCAAAATACAGGGGATCAGTCCAGACAGCGACCGAGTGGAAGAGCCATGCAACTGGGTCATGGACTGGGGGATGGACAGGGAGACAGACAGACAGACAGAAAGGACAAACAGACACGGGCTGCCCATGGCTGCCTACGTTTTTTATCTGTGTGCGTCTGCTTGGATGACTGAGCGACAAACATCATTACATGGTATCAAATGCGTCTATATATATGCAGTCAGCCGCCTCCTCTTTGACTCCGATCCACGCATCCATCCAGCCAGCCAGCCAGCCAGCCACGCACCCTCATAAATGCACACAGACCTCAACCAAGTCGCCGACCACACCGAAAACCCACTCATGCATCGCATCAAACCACTGTGTATCCACTCGGTGTGCATCCGCACCTCAATGATGTCTGTCGGCTTACGGCCCCTCATATTCCAGCCCATACCGCCCCACACAACGCGCCTGGCCCCACAGAGAGGCCTGCCAGACACACACAAGGACATGACGGGTCTATGAATGAGAAGCAGCTCATGGGGCCGTCTTCGAATTCGCGCACCTGCTTCAAAAAGTCGCCCCAGGTGATGCCCTTCGACTGACACACACACACACACACACACATGCACTCACACGAATCTACCAGCATCGATCGATGGGCTGACCTTGTCGGAGGCCGTGACGGCGGGTGTGAGCAGGGTCGTCTGGTAGCCTCCGGACTCACCCGTCCTGTACTCGTGCACGCACTTCTCAAACACCTCTGCAGGCACACACGCAGCCCATCAGTCCGGGCCGGGGCCGGCCCAGATACACACACACACACACACACACACACACAAGAACAGGCGTACGAGTGGTGACAATGATGGACTCGTAGGGATACACGACATCGTCCTTGCGCTTCTCGTGCCGCTCCTTTCCTCGGGGCTCATGAGCATCTGATTCAGTCTCCTCGTGCCACTCAGGTTCCTGGATACCGCTCAGGTTGATGCTCCTCGGCTCATTCGGCCGCTTGGCCTTCTTGACCTCCTTGAGCACCTCCTGCGGCTTCTTCTCGTGGTCCATCGGGCTGTCCTTCTGCCGGGGCACCGCACCTCATTTGTGTATGCGGCTATGCTGCAGAGCTCATTGTGGCTGATCTGGATTTGTGTGCAGCAGAGCGACTGATGTAGACCAATGCCCTGGCAGAATGGCAACGCAGATCTTCGACCTCAAGGAAGCTTTGAGCTCGCAGATCTGACCTTCCCCTTCGCGGTTACGAAACGACAGGTGAGCCTGCAGAAGTGTATTGATTCATCTTCAGACGTGGCCGTTTGCATGTCTTGTATTGTCTGTCTTGTCACCCACATCGGGCTGCTTCGATGAGTCCCGCCCCTCCAAAAGGGTGGCCAGAGTGTGTGGGTGGGAACCCAGATAGTCCGTCCTTCTGCCTCAGCTGCTCCGGCCTCATTACCTTTTTCATCGGCTTCGGTGTGCTGACCATCTATCCCCTCATCGCCTCCAAGTGGCGGATTGGCGGCGGCACCGCATCGCCCACCTATGTGCACACGGAAGTGGAGCAGAACATGGGCCTTAAGTTCTACACTCTCTGGGTGGAGCTGCCCCACTACTGCCACCATAACCAGACCGACTGCCTGATAACGGGAGATGTGAGGTGCCACCAAGGAAAAGTGAAAGCGCCGCTCTTCGGGGAACTTGCCTTTGAGAAGTGCGGGCGGGAAGAAAGCTATCGGACGACCTTGCCCCATGCGGTGTGGTGTAGATGCTGGCCGAGTTATGGTTTCTTGCGCGACAAGGCGGCCGAACGTGGAGACAAGCGCATGGAGAAAATGTGGAATGATGCCAAGTGGTCCGGCATTGCTATCTCCTGCGCGGCAGGCATGGCCTTCGTGCTGGCCGCCGCGGCACTCGTCTTCCATTGCTCGAAACCCACAAATGTGTGGTTAAGTGCTCTCAGCGTCTTGCAGCTGACTGCAGGTGTGGTTGCGATGATGGTCGTGTGGTTCAGCGTCTGGCGAAACGGGACGCGGTCTCTCCGGTGAGGCATCGACAGACAGACAGACAGACAGACAGACCTCACGATGATGTGTGGGTGGTGGCATGCAGGTGCTTCGGAGACGATGACATGCACGGCGGGGGCTGCCAGCTCCATCACGTCTGGAACTTTTCCATCTTCGTTTTCTGCGTCCTCGCCGTTGGTGTGGTGTGCTCGTGGGCCGGGACGGGTGCTCTGGTATACGAGCGGCACGAGGCAGCCAAGCGCTCAAGGGCCGTAGGTCAGCAACAGCCGCCGGCAGTGACAGTGACTGTGGCATCGACACAGCCTCAGCCCAATCCCCAGCCGCCAGCTGTTGCAGTGGTCGCCGCGCTGCCCGCCCCCCTCCCAGCTATCGTGGGCAATGCTATAAGGGACTCGACCGGCGGGGACTGGTAATACGTGGCCTTGCAAGGCAGTGTATTATAGACGTCGCAAGGATCGCTGTTGTCATTCGTTAGGCAGCTGAACGGACTGCACTCACTTCACATGTGCCTGATGTCATGCCTGCCTGCCTGCCTGCCTGTGTTTCTCTCTATCTGTCTGTCTGTGTGGTTGGTATGTGTGTAGTTGGTATGTTTGTATCGTCGCTTTTATCTATCTATATGGGTTTTGTGTTTGTGTGTGTCTGTGTGTGGCGAGGCGGGGTGGTTGCCGGCATGCCGGCAGGCACCGGCAGGCAGGCGGGTAACGAATGACTGTCCGATGTCATGTGTCTGTAAGCGGAGAGACAAAATGCGACGGCTTGATTCTGGATGTCGGCCTTCCTGCCTGTAGAATGGCGAGTGGAGATGTTGTGTGTGGGTGTGTTGTGTTGCGGGTCCCTTCATCGGCTTGCCCATGTCGCGAGCAATACGATGCATACTGCCACACCGTGTGTGTGCGCGAGTAATGCGACGCTCATGGAGCATCAGTGACCGAGCACAACAGCAAGTCTCAGATAGATAGATAGATAGATGCATTCAGTCAGAAGGACCAGTAGGGAGAGTCTATACACACACAGAACGACAAACCAACAACAGCAGCAAACCAAACGCGGCGGCTTTGCTGTCGTCAGTTACCACCTCACTCACAGTCAGTCAGTCAGTCGGCTTCATGGCCGCCCAGGAAGTGCTCAAACACGGCCGATCCGATGCCAAAGGCAGCACACCCTCCGAGCATCGCCCCCGGACCAGACTTATACGCCAGGGCCGCCCCTGTGGCACATCCCGCATACACAGAGTTGTTGATGTCGTGGGCTGCCCGCCCCTTCTCGATGAAGCACTCCACCAGGGAGAAGATGAACCCAATCTTCGCAAACGACTTGGCCGACTGCACCACCTCTGGAATGAACCCCTTGTAGGACTGCTTGATCTGCTGCCACATGGGGAGCGTCGTGTCGATGTCAACAGGCCTCATTGTGAAGAAGAAACCGCCGAACAGCAACCCCAGTCCGCCGCCCGCAATACCCATGAGGCAAGAGCGTGACAGGCACCCCTCAGTGAAGAACTGCTGCACCTTCAGAGGGTTGATGGGCGGGATCTCGTCGCCGAAGGGGTTCTTGATGAGCCGCAGGGACGTGTAGCGGTCAGAAAGGAGGACGTCCATGAAGGAAGAGAGAGGACGAGCGGCGGCTTGAGCAGACTGAGGCTCCATCGGCCAATCAACCTTGCAGATCTGAAGATGCCCAGTCGCGATGGAAGGGATGGATGCGGCAGACGTCCTGCGACTCCTGCTTTCAACGCGCCGGCCCCATGGCCGAGTGGTTCGCCACGGAGTCATGTGAGCCGGTCACCATGGGTTCAATTCCTCCAGTGGACCCATGGTGCAAGTTTCGGGCGGAAGTCTAGACTAGCTACCCTAAGGATCTCACTGGACTGTCTGCAAAACGGATTTCACTGGGCGCGCGGCGAGGACCAGCCGAGGAGTGGCACTAGGATGCGTAGGGTAGCTGCCGAAACCGTGCAAAGGCTGAGGATACAGAGGTGTGCGTTCGGTCGATCGGAGTGTGATCGTGCGTGGCCGGTGTACACCAATCGGACTCACAAAAGACTCGGGAGGAGGGGGGGAAGGGGTTCACTAACGCAACCACCACCACCACGCGTCGCGATCGGGATTTGCGAGCTCAAGACAATCTGTACGAGAGGGGCTATACATGCAAGGTGTCGAGCCAGGAAGGAGTGCAACAGGGCGATCCTGGGGGTGGGCGTCGTATGCGTGTGGGCTGCGTGGGGTGCTGGAGAAGATCAGGACGGCGCTGCCTGACCGGCTGGTGGTCGCCTTCGCGGACAACATCTATATCGGCACGACGCAGGACAAGGTGGCGCACGACTTCGACATGGCCGAGAACGAGCTGGCGATCGTGCGGCAGAACCTCGTGCGGGAGAAGTGCGAGGTGTGGGGCAAGCACTTCACCAAGGGCATGGACCGGCCGGCAAACATGCCCAGCGGTGTGTGCGTGCGCGACGAGGGGCTG